AAAAAATTGGAAAAAATGACAGCGTGGTTGTGAATAGTTGGCTGGGTCTGATACCAAAGTTGGAATAGAGGCACAAGGATTATCCAAGAGAGTAGGCCGTGGCAGCAGGCATAATAAGTGATCCTTGACAGTAGTTAGGAATGAGAGCCAGGGTGAAGAGCCAACTATGGTATATAACAAAGTCAATCTGAGAAAGTAGTAAGGAACACTAACCTAGCCAAGTAGCTGATTATGAAGACGAAAACTGGACTGCCTACTTTAGGCACAAGCAAGGCAACAAGGTTACATATGACAAGAACCTGAAAAAGACATGAAAAATAGATCCTGGGCATTGTTACAGACACACCTTTCCTTATCTGCTTTTACTGAGACTGTGTCTAGCCTTGGTTAAGATCCATATGTTATTTCTTGGCCACCTCATTGTGAACTCGATTATCAGGCTCTCCTTGGCCTGTCCACACAAAAAGGATATGATACTGTTCAGAAATGTCATGTAATGAAATGGATCACCATTGGTCCAGCACCTATAAATCCCCAGAGAGTCCTTATACCTAAAAACTCTAAATGAAGATAAATAGAGTCAGTTTGCTGATACTTTAATAGTGCATTCTTTAACAGAGTTATGGGTTTTGATTTTTGGTAAGAAGAGGTTCTTAAGAGATGGTAAAAAGTAGTGGGTACCCCTGAATGGTGTGTGTCCAAGAGGTCAGACAAATTTCTAAGTATGCAGTAGTGTAACAGTCAGAACTTAAGGTTTTATAAGGTTTTAAGAGAAGATTTGAGTAATTTAGTGAACTAAGATTTTTTGTGAAAATAACCAAATTCTGACTGCAATGGCAATTCTGATATTTACTAGAGACAAATATATTCGGCCAGAGCCAATTTGCAGCAATTGCCCAGATGCATTCAGTGTCTGTATTAAAATCAGTAATTTAACATTTAAATTATATATCAAGTATTGGATTCAGAAGATTCACAAATATTAACACAATTTGTGAATTGATACTTTGAAGTGTAACAATGGCACAATCCACACCTCGGTTTACAGAACAGGTGCAGTTACCTTCACAGCTCCAGCTTCCACCTCTCCCATACTAAACAGGCCATCATCTACAGCCAAGCCACTAGGTACCATCGCATATGCTCTGATCTTAATGACCATAATTCCCATCTAAATGTACTCTCCCAATCTTTGAGACAGAAAGGCTACAATCCAAAGACCATTAGCAAACAAATCAACTCTGCTATAAAAACTCCACGCACGCGCATGCTACAGTACAGAGAGAAAAAAATATCTACACGAGTGCCACTTGTGGTCACCTACAACCCAGCTCTTGAGGAAATACAGAAAATCATCAAAGACCTACAACCAATGTTAACAGAAGACGAGACTCTGGAAAACATTTTCTCTGACACACCCATTTTGGCCTTCAGACAACCACCAAATCTCCAACAAAAATGAATCAACAGGAAGCTGCCCACTGATGGTAAGAATAAAGAAAATGGGACCAGTCAATGCAAATAACCTTGTTGCAAAATGTGTCAGCACATATGCACAGACAACACATCCACAGACAACAATAAAACCTACAGCATTAAAGGAATGGTGTCTATTTTTAAACAAACCTGTGTCTTATCTGCACTTATGTCGCTTTAACCCCTGTATCACAACTCAACTTTGAATTCTATATGTAGTCTTGCTCAGAAATGCTTCAGACTTGAGAAAGGGAGGTTCTCCAAAAAAAAAAATTCTGTAAGTCCAATCAAAAAGGTTTTACAAGATACAATTTTTACCTGTTTTATTTATATATATATATATATATCAATTAGCAAACCAGTAACCAACCTCATGCTGAAGAGTTGCATTAACAACGAAACAGCTGTCCATGAGTGGTTCACTGGTTTTGCATCTTATCCTAAATTGTGTTCCAAGCAGTTGCATACTGCAAACACAAATTAAAAGGAATCCATGTTTAAAATGGAACGAGGCAAAAATGTGATTCTTTGTTAAACTAATTTGCATATGCCCACCCAGAATCCTTTGCGGTTGTAACATCACTGCTGATTTGGGATTTCTGTGGGAAAAGCAAGTCTTATGGCTTGACTGGTGTGCAGATTTTTGTTTAGCATTGTATTAACTATCCACATAATTCAGGTGGAAGGGGTTTTCAATCACAATTTTTCCCCACCATAACCTATTTAGATTTTGCTTCCCAAGCACTACCAAGCCTCAATTAGCAAACCAGTAACCAACCTCATGCTGAAGAGTTGCATTAACAACGAAACAGCTGTCCATGAGTGGTTCACTGGTTTTGCATCTTATCCTAAATTGTGTTCCAAGCAGTTGTATACTGCAAACACAAATTAAAAGGAATCCATGTTTAAAATGGAATGAGGCAAAAATGTGATTCTTTGTTAAACTAATTTGCATATGCCCACCCAGAATCCTTTGCGGTTGTAACATCACTGCTGATTTGGGATTTCTGTGGGAAAAGCAAGTCCTATGGCTTGACTGGTGTGCAGATTTTTGTTTAGCATTGTATTAACTATCCACATAATTCAGGTGGAAGGGGTTTTCAATCACAATTTTTCCCCACCATAACCTAATTAGATTTTGCTTCCCAAGCACTACCAAGCCTCAATTAGCAAACCAGTAACCAACCTCATGCTGAAGAGTTGCATTAACAACGAAACAGCTGTCCATGAGTGGTTCACTGGTTTTGCATCTTATCCTAAATTGTGTTCCAAGCAGTTGTATACTGCAAACACAAATTAAAAGGAATCCATGTTTAAAATGGAATGAGGCAAAAATGTGATTCTTTGTTAAACTAATTTGCATATGCCCACCCAGAATCCTTTGCGGTTGTAACATCACTGCTGATTTGGGATTTCTGTGGGAAAAGCAAGTCTTATGGCTTGACTGGTGTGCAGATTTTTGTTTAGCATTGTATTAACTATCCACATACTTCAGGTGGAAGGGGTTTTCAATCACAATTTTTCCCCACCATAACCTAATTATATATATATATATATATATATATATATATATATATATATATATATATATATATATATATATATATATATATATATATATATATACCAACAGAGTTATGGTATTTGACATTGCTAAACAAACATACACACACCGGTCTTATGGTAGCAAGTGCTATTAACAAATAAGAACGCAAATACCTGGTAATGTAGCGGGGTACCAGGTTAGGTAGGTTCTTGCCTGAAGGCAGTATGAATGTAGGCCTAAGTAGAAAATGTAAACCCCGTAATGAGTAGAGTACTATAGCTTGATTTGTTGTACAGGTACTTGGATGAGCGTAAGTGTTTTGTTTACGGAGAAAACCGGAGGAGCCTATAATAAGGTTGGAGCTATGGATTAAAGCCATCGTATATTATTAAAATTAGCAATGGTTATAACAGTATATTTTAATTAACAAATTCCGTTTGTGACAAGTTTAGAGTGAAGGCTGCCTGAGGCCTTGACATGATTGAAACTGAAGTGAGTAAATACTATACCTGGATGTAAATACAAGAGCTTGAATTTGACAACTTTATGCAGAAGTACAAGACAAACGGTCAATCTGTGGAGACCAAAAAACTGTAACAGAGGCTAAGATTAATGTCTGTGTAAGCTAAAGAGAAATAGAGAATACTATGAAATGTAGGGTTTGAAAATTCCCCCAGAGGATCGTGCTATATATTAATATATATGTTTGGGATGGCGTACAGGGTTGGCGTGGAGTTGAAAAACTCTGCCAAAGTAGTTGGGTGTCAGAAGAATTTATTAAGTATTTAACGTACCTAAAACACAGAGGGTTAACTGCTAATATCTATACTGATTCTCGGTAAGCCTTTGGCATAGCCCATGACTTTGGACTTCTTTGGCGGGCCCGAGATTTTCTCACATCTGCAGGAACCTTCATCAAGAACTCAGAAGCCGTGAGTGCCCTAATGGATGCTATCCTGCTACCAAAGCATGTGGGAATCATCAAGGTGGCAGCTCAATTGAAGATCACAGATGAAGAATCCCAATGTAATCACAGAGCTGATGTAGCGGCTAAGCAGGCTGCCAATCTACCATACCTTGCAGGTAAAATGCCTTTACAGACTATGACAGTAGCCCAATCTGTTTCATATGACATACTGCAAAGCCTACAGAAGCAGGCAAGCACAGAAGAACAACAACAATGGAAGAAGCTGGGAGCAGCATATCAGGACGCTGACAAGATGTGGAAGAAAGGTGAGAAGCGTTGTCTACCCAAGGTCTTATACCCAGTGCTGGTCCAGGTGGCCCATGGACCTACACATCTGTCAAAAATGAACATGATCAGTTTGGTAAATGCACATTGCATTGCTCCAGGTTTCACTGTAATTGCTGCAAAACATACACAAAGCTGCATGATTTGTGCTAGGAATAATGCAGGTCAAGTGATTAAAACGCCCTCCAAGTACATGCCACGGCAACTTTGCCAGTTCCAGAGAGTGCAGATAGACCATATTCAACTGCCTAAAATAGGAGTATATATATATATATATATATATATATATATAATACACAACACACAAGATCCAGCGCACTCACCTATCCACTAAACAGCAACTTCAATGTTGAAAGATTTTATTTGTTTTTTTAAAAACACCTAATCTAGGCAAAAATAATGGGGGTTTAGTCACATTATATGATCATACATTGCATAAGCCTGCCACAACGTCAATGTACCCCATCTTTGGCAGGTCCTACACTAACAGCCTAATGTCTGCTCTTATGAGATTAACCTACTTGGGGAAAGAAATTCCATCTGGGGCTCTCTGCAGTACAAGTCTAAATAGGGCCCTGGGATGAGGCACCTGTGACAGGGAGGGGTGCAAAACCAAGGAGTTGGCTAGACTCCCAAATATATATAAAACAAGAGGGGTTGGCTGCACTCACCTTAACATGCATAAATGGGGGTGCTGCTGGGGGCCAAATAATACAATACACAAGATCCAGCGCACTCACCTATCCACTAAACAGCAACTTCAATGTTGAAAGATTTTATTTGTGGCAGGCTTATGCAATGTATGATCATATAATGTAACTAAACCCCCATTATTTTTGCCTAGATTAGGTGTTTTAAAAAAAACAAACAAATAAAATCTTTCAACATTGAAGTTGCTGTTTAGTGGATAGGTGAGTGCGCTGGATCTTGTGTATTGTATTATTTGGCCCCCAGCAGCACCCCCATTTATGCATGTTAAGGTGAGTGCAGCCAACCCCCTCTTGTTTTATATATATTTGGGAGTCTAGCCAACTCCTTGGTTTTGCACCCCTCCCTGTCACAGGTGCCTCATCCCAGGGCCCTATTTAGCCTTGTACTGCAGAGAGCCCCAGATGGAATTTTTTCCCCAAGTAGGTTAATCTCATAAGAGCAGACATTAGGCTGTTAGTGTAGGACCTGCCAAAGATGGGGTACATTGACGTTGTGGCAGGCTTATGCAATGTATGATCATATAATGTAACTAAACCCCCATTATTTTTGCCTAGATTAGGTGTTTTTAAAAAAACAAATAAAAATCTTTCAACATTGAAGTTGCTGTTTAGTGGATAGGTGAGTGCGCTGGATCTTGTGTATTGTATTATTTGGCCCCCAGCAGCACCCCCATTTATGCATGTTAAGGTGAGTGCAGCCAACCCCCTCTTGTTTTATATATATTTGGGAGTCTAGCCAACTCCTTGGTTTTGCACCCCTCCCTGTCACAGGTGCCTCATCCCAGGGCCCTATTTAGCCTTGTACTGCAGAGAGCCCCAGATGGAATTTTTTTTCCCCAAGTAGGTTAATCTCATAAGATCTCATAAGAGCAGACATTAGGCTGTTAGTGTAGGACCTGCCAAAGATGGGGTACATTGATGTTGTGGCAGGCTTATGCAATGTATGATCA